TCGTATGGGCGCTCAAAAGGGGAGTAGTGGTTTGTTTGGCGCCCCGAACCTCCGGGCCTTTGGCCGAAAATTCTTTGTGTTTTTTATGATTTTTCTGCACTTTTGATTTTGTATTTTACTGAAAATACTTGAACGTACAAAAGATTTGAACAACTGGGACTAACAAGGTTTGGTTCTTGGGGTTTTTGGGCTGAATAGGTTTAGGAAAAAGGATAGGCTAAATATTTACATATACAAATTTGCTATTCTCGCGGATGTGGATGGCCAAACTGAAGATTTCTGGCCATTTTATGCTGTCGCTGGCAGAGTTGGAAAACTTCTGGGGTGAACTTGGTTGTTATTTTTTGGTGCACATGCAAATCAAGTTATGAAGTCATCGGTGCACCTCTTGGCTACTTCATCTTGCTGTTATCAGCGTGCTATGTTTTTGGGGAAAGCAGTTATTCTGAGGGTTTGCATTTGGAATTGCTGCTGCATTTTAGTTTCTATATGTTATATCAGTCATTGACGGGTAAACCGTTGTGACCTTGCTGCGTATGTATGGGGTTTGAGGAGGGCTTCATGGAGAATAACTATTCAGTGTTATATTAATTTGGACTTTATATGCTTATAGAAATACCTTGCATAGTTACATATAGATTTCTGCACGGATTATTGGGTTCTGTAGTTTATACTTGTATTCCTGGTATTCTCCACTCATAATTTAACTAGAAAGATTTGAGTTATAGCTTCATTTTCATTGGTTTTAGAATAAAAAGGGCTAAGATCTGTGTGATCAAATATTCAAAAATTTCAAGTCTTGTTAGATTGTAGAGGATATTGATACTTTTGTCATTATTTTGGGATAACATTCCTCTTCTAATGGAATGAAGTGAGGAGATCGTAAAATAAATGAATGTTATATTGAGAACCGAAAAATTCCAGTTTTAAAAGATTTATTGTGGTTATGTACTTATCATTCTAGATGATGTTTTTTCTATAACAGACACATTTCTCCATGAATAATTCCTATGACTTGTACATTTGAGATCTTTTCTCATCCCATCATATTACTCTGTCTCTGTTTTTCTCTCCGTCATTGACACTCACAAAACAATGTTTACAGCATTGGTTTCAGTTTTATCTGACCTATTGTCATTCCATAGACTTCCATTTACCATGCTGGTGCTACAAAGAGCAGCGAAGATGGTGTGGGATCTTCCCGAGGTCATGAGAACAGTGTGCATGTTTATGCTCGTAATGCTTTTTCTGGTTAGCATTGTTGTCCTTTGGGGTTGCTGGTGTTGTTGCTCTAAATATTGGAGATGCTGTGTACTCTCTCCTCATGGTGAGCCGGCAAGTTATTAATCTTATTTCATTTTCTTTACACACAGGCGTGAATTCTATTATACTATTCATCTCTTATGGTGTTGCTTATATGTACAGGTACCGTCTGAGAGTTTGTTTTGGACTAGTGCAGTTATTTGTAATGTTGTCCACGTTGTAGTTTCAGGAATGGTGTTTCTAGTTCTTATCCATGGTGGTCGAGAAGTGTCAACAATACCTCCAAAATCACTGATGAATTCCTTGCGGTATGCTATCACAACTTCTTTTGGCAGCATATGCTATGGATCACTCTTTACAGCTGCTATACGAACCCTACGGTGGGAGGTAAGCAATCTAAAGTTAATTCGTTGGATTGCCCTAAGAATATTATATCTGTTAGTGAATAATGACTTCAATTCCACGTTTGATTGTACTTATTTTACAGATTAGAGGATTGAGGTCAAAGATTGGCAACAATGAGTGTTTGCTCTGTTGTGTTGATTTTCTGTTTCATCTAGTCGAGTTTTTAGTTCATTGGTTCAATAAGTTTGCTTATCGACGGTATTTTTTTCTAAATGTACAATGTTCTTTTTCCTTCAGTCTTCCATAGTATTAGGACATTTATGAGATACGAGATATGCACTTTATGACATGGCTTGCTTGGATTGTGATTGATTGGAAAGTATATCTGATGGAGATCCTTGAGATATTATTCGAAGACTATTTATGCAAGACTTGCTGTATATTAATATACAAGTTGTTTGCAATACAGATTGATTTTCCTTAAATTATTGTTATTAGTATATATGCTTTTTCGTTATTAAAATTAGACTCAATTATTGAATCAATAAAGTGTACAGGTGCTGTCCTGTTGATGCGCACCCTCTTGTGTGGGCTGATTGCTGGAACTTGTGTGGGTGTTTGGTATGGTTTCAAATATTGTGACAGAGAAGTGATGATGGGATCTACAGCCATGTTAATGGGGATGATCTTGGTAAGCATATATATGATATCGCCATCGTTCAGGATCCATTTTAATGAGTTTTTGATTAAAAAAAATGTATTTTAAAATAATAATATTTTGTAGAATGTGTAGTTAAAAAAAAAAAAAAAGTTTTGGATTTACGTGTAATATATTTTGTTGGAAAATGTGTGGTTAAAAAATAAGAAAAGTTTTGAGTGTACATGTAAAATTATTTTACAGAAGAATGTATAGTTAAAAATGAAATTTTAAAATAATGACGGCCAAATATAGGCCAAATTTTATGTAATCATAATAGAGTAGATTGATGCGAAGTATTGACAATGCTAGATTCACTGTTAAAGGTGGTGGTAGTGCTACCTTTTGAATTCCATTTCAGTTTTCTAATTAGAAAGAGTATATTAGTTCTAAAGTCGAGATAGTGTCACCCATATTTATCCCTTGTTTGAGCTACATTATTTTGGAAAAAATGCACTTTTGAATAGATTATTGGTAGAAAATGTGTGGTTAAAATTTTGAATTTGGATAATATTATTTTTTGAAGAATCTGATTAAAATGATGTCAAATCATTTTTTAAAAATATATTTTTTCAAATAATATGGATCAAATAGGCCCTTATTACGTTGGAATTATACTTGTCCCATAAATAATATTATGCCTCTGTTTGTTTCTTATTTTTGGAAGAATGAGAATGAAAAATATAGTTGTTACGGGCCCCACATAAGATATAGAAATTCAGATTTAGTGGTTTAATGTGATGGATAATGATGATATTTTTCATTTTAATGAGGGAATAATGGAAAACAAAGAGGGGCATATATATATTAAATATATACAATATTTAATATTTACTGTCGAACAATAAAACGTAAAACTTGTTTCACACACAATATTATCTAATTATTACTATTTATTGTTGAACAATAAAAGAAGTTTCACATACGCTATAAATACAATGCTTCTTATATAAATAACTAAAACATGAAATATGCTTGTTAATTACGTTCCAAATTGTAAATAAAATTGTTCCACAAATAATATTATCTAGTACTTAGTATAAATTGTCGAACAATATAAGGTGGTTTAATTTGTTTAGTGATCCTATTAGTTGCTAAATATGCAAACAAATCTAAAATGTTAGCCAATCTCATATCCGAACATAATCAACCATTTTGTCAAAGATTGTTCTCGTAATGAAATTAAAATAAATCTATTAAATGTTAGCCAATCTCTTATTCGAATGTAAATTTTCCTTTCAATGAAGACTATTGTCATAATGAAATAATAATATATGAACAAATCTCAAATGTTAGCCAATCTCTTATCCGAATATGATGCAGCTCACGAGTCCCGTTTTGTGGAAGAATTCTACCTCGTAATCTTCTAATTATTCAAAGGAGCGGGTTGTCTACTTGAGTGAAAGATTACTAAACAAGACGGATGGATTTGTTAAATAAGACGGTTAGTTATATATTAATATACTATTGCCAAATTGTAACAAAGGTAAGCAAAACAAACAAATTTTTAAAAAAATATTTCGATTGTTTCATCATTGTGGGTTGAAAAAGCTATTTATTAGAAAAAGATTTGTTAATTTTGTCAACTTTCTTTCTTAATCTACAAGAAAGGACTAGCAAATAATTTTAGAATAAAACCATATGTACCGAATGGGGGTTATCGAAGCGTGTCCCCCCCCCCACAAACACGCGGGCCCCGCGTGTATTTAATAATGCCGAGCCATGGTCGCCACCTTAATGATGTGAGTGGGGTGTAAACGATTGTGTAAATGAATATATACGTATAGCACAGTCCATAATTTTATTATCAATATTGTAGACCAAGTCATATATTTTTAAAAGATTAGAGAAAAATCAATGAGGTGATGAAGATTGAGATATCAAGATTCAAATAATCGAATTTATTTATATGGAAGCAATGTCGAATAGAAACTACTGAACAATTTTTAAACATGAATACTCTAACCTTGTGCTTGCCTGAGACCAAAAACCATTAGACATTTATTGGTCTTGTTTGCGGCGGAGAATCTTAAAACCGCCAACTATTAAAACTGTAAATATTAACTGCAATTCATCAAGAATCATTTGATATAGCTGGCTCTTTTCGTCGTCTTCACTAAAAAATTGTTAATATCAAATTTTAAGGAATATGTATTTTATTATGTTAAACATATTCTTAATGGAATAGACTTGAGTGTACTCAACAATCTGAGATTAATTTAAAACTCTTATTTTTCACTATAATAATGAAATGCGAATAATACTTCTGATTTAATATTTTAATGAGAAGCTTTATCATGTAAAGGTCCCATGATAATAATTTGAAAGATTTTACTTATACATAATAGAGTAAAATAATGACTTACATGCGGATGAAGAGTCAAAAAAGTGTGAGAATTTTTTTTTATTTAATTGAAGAAATTCTAACATAATCATATCTCACCACATTATGTATATATAAATTATTATATATATTGCAAAACCAGAGAAACATTATAATGACTTAAAACTTTCCATCTTTTTCTTTTTCCTATTCCATGTCATCTTTCTGGACACCGTTAATTATGTGTACAATAATGTACAAATAGGATTAATCATATTTTATATGGCGAAAACTGAAAAGGTGGCGCGTGATGTTGGCTAGTGACAACATTGTTAAACGTTGGCAAATACCTGGTACTTCCTAATAATTTCGAACAATGAGCCGTTACATTTCAGTTCTTTCCACAAAATTTTCCTAATGATAGACTCGTAATTGTAGTAGTATAAATTTCAATTCTTTTTCCAAATCCATGCCATTTTGAGTTCTCCTCCGATGAGCGACTCCCATTCTTCATCTTCATCGTCCTATGACTCCGCCTCAGTGGGACCCACGCCACTGGTAATGTATTCTTCATAGTTGCATATATGTATGTGTTCATGTGAGTGTTTGTCTCTGTGTTTCGGATTTTTTTGCAGTAAGCATGTGACTGATCAATACTAAATTCCGTCACTTTATCCCCATGTCTGGGAATAAACCAATTCGTGAAAAACAAAATTGGCGCTTTAATGTGTGGTCTGGAATATACTGAGATGATTGCAGAGTAAAGGGGAAAATTTGACTTTCAAACTGTTATTTGTTGTCAAGGAATTTGGCGTCATAGTCGATATGGAAGATGCTCTCTGGAAAATCTTCGAATTGAACTTAGGAATTGGGGCTATCGCATGAATCTGGAGGCTTCAGTTGTTTGGAGAAAATGGAGGGAAAATAATTTTCAGATATTTCTTTCTCTTCAACTGCTTGTATTCTCTATTTTAACAATTTTGTGCCCAAAATGGGGCAGAGTGAGGTGACTTCGAGAAATACTTTTGAAGTTTATATCCGGGAGATACAATTTATAGAAGAAAAGTTTCAGAATTATGAGGTTCTACCATTCTGTCAAGCTAGGGTGCAACATGAAATTTTAAATATTGAGGTGCAAATTAAAATTTTATAAAATTATGAGGTAGAAACTGTGATTGCTTGAATTTATGGCATGCATAAACGAATAACAGATGAAATCTGCATGGAAACCTGAATTAGATGAACAGAAATTTTCCTTTTTATATTGATTAAGAAGTGTATTGATTGCAGAACGTTGTGGAGAGTCATAGAAGTACAGATGGTAGTCACCCATTCTCTCAGGAACTCACACCAATGGGCTCACGCCACTGGCGGGATGTGGTCTGGATGTTGATATTTCTGGCACATTTAATTGTGATAGGTTTGGCTCTTGGGGTTTCTGGACTCGATAGGTTTGGGGAAAAAGATAGGCTGAATGCTTATAGTTGCATGTTTACTCTTGTCAAGGACACGGATGGTCTAACCGAAGATTTCTGGCCATTGTATGCTGTCGCTGGCGGAGTCGGGACACTACTTGGCTGGGCTTGGTTGTTATGGTTTAGTGCACATGCAAATCAAGTTATGAAGTTCATGGTGCACCTCTTGTCTACTTATCTTGCTGTTATAAGCGTGCTATGTTTTTGGGACAAGCAGTTATTCTGGGGTTTTGCATTTGGCGTTGCTGCTGCATTTCAGTTCTTGTATGTCATATCAGTCATTGACAGGTAAAAAATTGTAACCTTACTGCATAGTGACCTTTCCATGGGTGTTTCAAGTTGAGCTTAGATTTATCGTCATGGCATGCTTTAGAATGTTAGAATTGAGGGCTTTGTTTAGAGAAACTACTCTGTGTAGTTCTACAAAGTTGGAGTACTTAAATGCCTTACATATGTATTTCTGCATGGATTGTTCGGCTTCATAGTGTATACTTGTATTCCTGGTTTTCTCTGCTTCATGATTTAACTAGGAAGATTTGAATTAGAATTTCATTTTGATTGGCTTTAGAATAGAAGGACCTATAACCAGTTAATCAGAGATGTAAAAATTTCCAGTCTTTTTGGATTGTAGAGGAAACTGATAATTTTGTCATAATTTTGGGAAAACAGCTGTCTTATCATGGAATGAAGTGAGAAGATTGTAAATTATTTTTGTTTTGTCCACTGGTTTCAAGTTTATCTGACCTATTGTCATTCCGTAGACTTCCATTTACCCTTCTGGTGCTACAAAGAGCAGTAAAGATGGTGTGGGATCTTCCAGAGGTCATGAGAGCAGCAAGCATATCTATGCTTGTCATGCTCTTATGGTTAGCTTTGTGGTCCTTTGGTGTTGCTGGTGTTTTGGCGTCAAGTGTTGGAGATTTTGTGCACTGGTGGCTTCTTGTGGTGAGCTGGCAAGTTATTGATCTTATTTCATTTTCTTTAGGCAGAGGTGTGGATTCTGTAGCATTATTCATCTGGCAACATAAGAAAATGGTGTATCTGTATGTGCAGGTACTGTCTGTGAGTTTGTTTTGGACTGGTGCGGTTCTTTGTAATGTTGTCCACGTTATAGTTTCAGGAATGGTGTTTCTAGTTCTTATCCATGGTGGTAGAGAAGCATCATCAATGCCTCCCAAACCACTGATGCATTCATTGCGGTATGCTCTCACAACTTCTTTTGGCAGCATATGCTATGGATCGCTCTTTACAGCTGCTATTCGAACGTTAAGGTGGGAGGTAAGCTATTCAATGTTAATTGGTTGGTTTGCTCTACTTATTAGATTTGTTCTGTGGATGACTGATAAATCTTTTGGTAAATAACTAGATTGTACTTATTTCACAGATTAGGGGATTGAGGTCAAAGATTGGCAACAATGAGTGTTTGCTCTGTTGTGTTGACTTTCTGTTTCATCTAGTTGAGTTTTTAGTTCGTTGGTTCAATAAGTTTGCTTATGTCCAGGTATTTTTTCTATATATAGTGTTCATTTTCCTTCTTCATTCTTTCCTGGTATTAGGATATTTATGAGATACGAGATATGCCCTTTTTATTACATTGCTTGCTTGGATTGTGAATGATTAGGAAGTATGTATCCTACAGAGTTTAAATTTTTAATGCATTTTAATAACAAATATTGAGTTAAACGTTGGACTAGATGAAATTGGATGTGAAATGAGTTGTAAGGGTGAATATTGGTGAAAAGTTCCATCAAATTTGAAATAAGAGGATTTGTCTCTAACTGTTATTGCCCTTTTCTTCGACTGCCTTGATAAACATGTTGGTAATTTTGCATAGATCATTCTGATTGGAAAAGAAAGAGATTGAAAATTCAAAAATTGATTATTTTGACTTCAGCTGTTGCTCAAGATTCTGTAAATGAATCTTCATTCTAATTATGTTGAATCTGGTCCTCCTTTTCAATTGCTCCCAAAGCTCAATTTGAACAGGTTGGTGTATGGGAACTTACATCAGTTAAAGAAATTTTCTTGAAGTTATGAAAAGATAAAAAGCTTGAAGAGCCACTAAGTGTTTCCAAGGAAAAATGAAACTCTTCTTGTCCAAACCGCTAGGTTACAATCATTACCTAAAATGTGATGATTAATGTTTCTTCTGGTGCTTCTTAACATTGTAATAAGATTGTTTTTAGTTGTTCCTGGCGGTGAATTTCTTAATATTTTGCGATTTATATCATCTTTTCACTAAGATTATTGCTTTAACTGTCAATATATGTGACACGATATTGCGTCGTTAATTCAGATTGCAACTAATGGAAAAAGCTTCAATAACTCAGCAAAAGATGCCTGGGAATTGTTCCAATCAACAGGAGTGGAAGCACTTGTAGCATATGACTGTTCAGGAGCTGTTCTATTAATGGCCACCCTCTTGGGTGGGCTATTTGCCGGAACTTGTGCAGGTGTTTGGTCTTGGATTAAATGTCATAACAGACTGGTAATGGTGGGATCTACTGCCATGTTGATGGGCATGATCTTGGTAAGCATATGACACTGAAGCCCGCACAGCCCCACTCTACCCACCCCATTTCATCCCTTTCAAAATATGTGTTCACGATAAAAATCAGATCAACAAATTCCCTCAGTTAGCCAGGACTCACAACACGTTAGGCTATGTTTATTCATTACATTTTTGTTCATCTTTTCTATTCCAAAAGGATAACTGATTATTGCTGCCTCTAAATTGGTTTTCTGTTTGCAGGTTGGGCTAGCAACTGTGGTTGTGGAAAGTGCAGTGACATCTATCTATCTCTGTTACGCGCAAGACCCCTTATTAATATGTAGATGGGATGCAGCATTCTTCGACCAGATGTCAGAGAAATTACACCAGCGCCTTCAACATAGAAGTGCACGCACGAGAGAAGTATCAAGTCATAGAGTAGCTGATCAAATACAAGAAACAATTGCTATTTGAATATCACTCTGTACAAGATGCATCAGTTATCTGTTAAATGTAATTAATTCCTATAAATATAACTCCTTGTTTTCTCCCTCAAACAACCCTTCTTTTACACCATATTTTTGTCCCAATAGGTGAGATGTAGCCTTGCTAAAGATATTTGATATTTGATATTTGGCAATCATTTCTATCGTCGAAGTTCACTCCAAAAATCGTCAAAATGATGTTTTTGGTGTTCAGTTTATGTTACATTTCTCTGTCAAACAACCAATCCAATCAACTCAAATTCACAAACTATATATTCATCTCTGTTGCTTTTTAATCTCACACACAAAGAACAAGAAAATTTGTGATGATTTGTAACCACAAAGGCAAGGAGAAAGACAATAAAGAATGGACACAAAAGGAGGCTAAATTCACAAAGAAATCCACCGATTTTTTGACACACTATGGCAGCCGATTTTTCACAAAGAAGGTGCCACGTTTTTCTCCTATGTACTTCCATAAATCACACACTAAAAATGGCTAGAGTAAAACATGTATATGGAGGATTAGGTTAGGCTTTTAGTTAGACCAATAATAAAGCTAAATGGGTCAAGATTTAGAGTCACCCAAAAGGTAATATAAATGAGTCGGATAGAGTCTTTTTACTTGGTTGTTAATAATTATTTTACTCATTAGCCGAAGCCTATGAAATATATTCTCACATTAACATCATAGCCCGAGATTTATTCGATATCAAAATCCAACAATTTCTAGAAATGAGTTTATGTTCTTGGTATGAAGATAATATGAACATGCTTATTAAGAGCAAACATGCAAGTCAAAGACACGACTCAGGCCTATTTGGGATATCTTTTGCTTCTCTTTTTTGTAAATTAGTTTCCTTAGGATAATTTGGATCATTTTTTTCTGAAAACTCATTTAATTAGACAAAATTCTTTTAAAATTTTTTTATCTGAAGGGTGTAAAATTAATTTTTGACTTTTCAAAACCTTATCATATTGGCCTTAATTTGCCTAATTCTAGTGTTTCTATTTAAGTTCAATAGTCAATACACTAGTGGCAGCTTTGGTATGCTTCTTTAGAAGATATGATGGACGAGATTAAATAAGAAAAAATAGCTAAAATTCCGTTTATTACAATATATAATATTATTTAGTACTACGTAAAAAACACATCACAATGGAATCATTTAAAAATCTTTCTTTTAAGCAGGATTTTATATCATGAATGCAAATGCACGTCTTTTTCTCAATTTGTAAAACAAAACATGGAATTAAGTAAAAACAAAACATGGAATACGGATGATAAAGTGAAACTTGAATGTGACAAGCAAGTTGTTTGTAAAAATAAAATCTACCCCCAAACATCACACGCACAAATGTTTATATTAGTTTATATGTTCGAATATACATGACAAGATTTAAAAAAAAAAAAAAAGAAGGAAAAATAAGCTGAAAACGTATATGAAATGTGTATGTTATTGCTCAAAGAAATATTAAATTATTTGGGATATATAAGTGAAACTTCAATGATGCAGTATTAATTAATCAACGAACTAGATTAAAATTTGTGCAGTGAATCCATTCTGAACCCTTTATTGCATAATCAAATCAGACCATTCAAATTTATTAATAATCATCAACAACGCTTGATCAAGAATACAATACAATATTTTTACAGGTTTTAATTAAATAATTACATATCGACTAATCAATTCATCTTGTCTACCTGCCTATATGTTCTTACACTCTCATTCTTCTTCTTCCTTCCTGCAGTCACATGTAAACCACAAACTTGTTAATTGTAGAAGATAAAATTAAAAATAATCCATAAACTGTGAAAGAAAAGTTCTCAAGAAATCACTTATTCAATAAAAAGAACGTACTTGGTCTATTTTTTCTTCTCGACTGAACGATTTGTGGTATGAAAACACCAGTTCCATTGCCAGTTCTCCACAAGTTCAATATCGATGCAGGTGTTGCATAATCCTCCTTATTCCCTGACCAGTTATATAAACATCCAGATGGTTTTACAGAGGATAGCATGGGGATTGAACCGTGTTTACGTGCCTCGGCCATGTTTGGACTACTTCTATTTTCATCTAATTCTTCATCATCGCTATCTTCTGCTGTTAATAGCAAAACTTGCCTTCTAAGTTCACAGTAGAAAACCTCATCATCTTCTTCAAGTTCTTCTTCATATTCGCCGTACAAGAAAACATTCTTTGCATATACTTCTGGTTTAAGAGTGCTATGGAAATCCATTGAAGGGAAATGCTGGGAATTTTTGGTTTGAAAGGTTATGCTTTTTGGAATTTATAGTCAAGAACCGGAGAGAAAAGGTGCTTCGATAGTGGTCAATTTTCAAAGGCAGTAGAAGATGGACTTTTTAGCCATCTACGAGTGGTCCAAATGCAAGGAATATGCCTATGTTTGAATTTATATTTGTCACTTTGTCTATTTTCTTTAGGTTGAATCTTTTGTGGGATAAACACGTTGAAGTGAGAAAAGTCTTTATTGGGAACATTCCTAATCTTAATTTAACTCGTAATAATCTTCGAGTGACCTTGTTTGTGATAAGCAGAGAAAATATTAGGTATGACGTGACATGACACCATAAAATTTACTTTTATTCTCTTTTAATGTCGATATTTATAGTTGCAGGTAGATTTTGTGGCTGATACTATGATGGAGCCGCTGTTAATTTCGATAATTTGACTTTATTTAAGTATTATTATTACTGATTTTTAGTTAATTAATATTTAGGATTATACACGATCGTTAATTCCTAAGTGAATTCACCTTTGTGATTGTTGGGTTTTTTGATACCCAATAAATCTCGGGTTATGATGTTAACATGGGATAATATATTTCATAGACCTAGGCCGATAAATGAAATAAATCCAACAACCAAGTCTATGAGCTTCACCCGATCCAATTGCATTTTCTCTTATATGGCTTGAATCTTGGCCCATTTATCTTTCTTTTTGATTCAATTAAAAGCTTGACCCTAAACTATTTATAAGATTAAAACCCTAGCTATTTTCTAGTGTGATTAGTGTGTGAAAAAATGGAGAACCTGGCTGCAAGAAGAGAGAAAAAGGCTAGTCCTTTGTGTGTCCAAAATTGGTGATTAAACCGTGTTTTGGTGGTTCTTTCTTGCTTTCCTTTGTGGTGTTGTTCTCATTGCCTTTGTGGCTACAAATCATCACATTTTCTTGTCATTTGTGGGTAAGATTGAATAGCAATCGAGGTGAATATATTGGTTGTGGATTGGAGCTCGTTGGTTCGATTGTTTGGTAGAGAAATGTACGTTGGACTGAGCCCGAAAAACACCAATTTGAATATTCTTGGAGCGAGCTTCAGCAACATTTGGTATCAAAGTTTCAAGGTGGTGAAATGGAGGCCACTGGTGTGACGTGTAGGTGGTGGTGGTCTAGTTTGTCCGACACATATGGTGGTCTAGGGAGGCGTGCAGTGGTGTGTAAAGCCTCTGCATGGAGAGGTCGGCCAAGCGCGTGGGGCTTCTTAGTGTTGTTAGTTTTCTGTTTTAGGTTGTGCAGTAGAATCTGGACAAAGTTGTTCTTTGGACGTTTGGGACTCGATTATGGTTTGTTGGTTGCTGCAGTTGCTAAAGACTTTAGAACGAATAGTGATGGTTCTAAAGTGATAAATTCGCGTCTCTCATAATTTACGGACTCAGATTGGTCCGCTCTAGTATATTGGCTTATCCCAATTTAAATTTCAGTATTAGCACGTCATCTTGTAGGGTGACAATAGGTTTGTGGTTACCGTGAAGGGGTAACATTGTCTGTGCTAGAAATTTAGGAATTATTTGCCATATTTTGAAGTGTTGAGTTTTAATTGCAAGTTGGTAGTTGATTTTGTGCTTTAACTATCATATAGTCATTGTGTGAGACTACATTGCATGAAAATTTGAATTTTTGTTAACATATATTCGTGTTGCGTTGTTTATCCTGTGGAACATTTGGACTTGACCCGTTTGAACATTCCCTTGATCTAAAATCATGAATCTTACGAAACGCTAGGAATCTAGAATGTCGTGTATTGCAGCCTTAGGATTACTTTGTGTAACCTATTTGCGCATTTGGTTGTTCTATTTTCTCAAAATATCTTCTCGTTTCGAAGTTGGTATTTGTAAGTGTTATGCCCTAGGTCCAATCAACCTTGGACATAAATACTTTTAATATATAATTAATGCAATTTAATGACAGATCTACTATTTAATTAATATACAATTAAATTAAATAATAGAGTCCGTAGATTCAAATTTTCGTAATTTGTTAATCACAAAGAGTTGTGATTGTGAGATACAAATTACATAGATTGATCTTAAATCGTTCGTGGTCGTAAGTAATAACGAGATACGGATATCATTTTTATGATTAGATCATCACGTGTGACATTTCTTACTTGTGAAGTAAGTAGCTGATATCACGAGCTAAAGTGTGGTGACACTTGAATAAACATGAGGATGTTTTGTTATAGAACAAAACATTGGAGATCCGCCTAGAGATTTCACATGGATAACTATCTGAGTGTCAGTGGCTAATCTCTAACATTCGGTAGTGGGATTAGTCCTTTGACTTGATGCCGTTATAGTACCTTATATGAGGACAGTCATCGTTGACGGTGTTGGATGTTGCTCTGCCAATGGCCACTAATACGGAATCGTTCGGGTATTCAAGAATCGTATGAAGGTTGTGAATGACCAATAGAAGATTCGTCACTCTTAGATAATAAGAGATTATGATCTGCAATTCATTCAATTAAGTCGATAATGAAATCTTTGGTCAATGTGTACTCATAAGTCGAAAAAGAGTTTTCGACTTATATTGACTTAATAGTGGAGTGAAAAATATGATCAATAATCGAGATTGACACACTTCCATATCTCGTAATTGATTGGAACATATTGATGAAGGGATTATAGATTCACCGTAAACGAATGAGTTTGGTTTTGTCATGTCACGTGACATTTTCCGTCACATGTATTGCCCTGACACATTGCTAGATGTCAATCTGAGACGGCGAGTGTAAATTGGTGATAAATTAAAAGGGTGTTTTAATTTTTCGATTTTGATTAGATCAAAATAATATTTCACGTCGTTAAGCATTATGATCGAGAACCTGATAGTTCACACACAAAAGAGAATTGGAAGATTGCAATTTGTCAATTAATTAATTTAGCAATCATTGGATAAATTAAACAATTGGGTTGGTTATTTATAGGCCCGAATTTAATGAAATGGGTTAATTAAATATTAGCCCAGGTCAGGCCAAACCCATTTAGACTTATATAAATATATGGTTAGGGTTTTCAATTCGTAGAGAATTCATTATTCTTGCTAGCACAAGAAGAATACCCTAATCCTGTAATATTGTTCTCTATGTGGATCACTGTTAGAGGCTGAACAATTGAATAGCTGTGGGTGACAGATCAAAGTTGTTGGAACGAAAAGACTGGCAAAAGGTTTACAAAATTTTTCAAAGGTACATCTTTTATTATAATTTCTATCTAAATACAAAGACGATTCCTGGTGGGAATTGAATTTTGTTTTAATTTTTTGTTGTGCATGATAAGTAGATTTTCAGCAGCATTTTCAACGAAAAATGTGATTTTTCAATTTGGCAGCAAAATTAATTCAAGACATTTTTAATTATGATGAAAAGGTCTCTGAAACATATAAGATTATTAACTTTCTTAATTCTATGCCTAATTCATATACACAGGTCAAGAATTCAATTAAGTATGGTAGGGACACCTTAACACCCAAAATTGTCATAGACTCATTTAGGAGTATAAGGCTGAGAAAGAGGATAAGAGGAGTGACGAGTTATATATGATGAGGAGTAGGATAAAATTTAAGCAAATGAATTTGGGTAGAACTCAAGACAGGAGTGATTCGGGTAGTGACTTGAGTGATGAGGGTAGTAAAAAGAAGGGCAAGAAACGGAACAAATCTAGTTGTAGATGGTGTTACAGTTGTGGTAAATCTGGACACTTTATTAGGAATTGTCCTAGTAAGAAAGATAAGCTGAAGGATAAGATGAGAGGTGAGACAAATTTGGCTTTAGGGTCGACTGATGACCCTAGAGAGTAAACTTAGTTACTGCATGTGTATCTGTGTGTGATCCTTTCTGCATGTGTGTGATTACCTAATTCTTGTTACATGATTATATTTCGCATTTCAATGTGTTTGATATGTGAATTTGCATGAATTTGAGGCAATATGATTATTTGGTATAACTGTATGCATGCATAGTGGGTTAGGATGCATTAGCAGTGTGTTGAATGTCTTTTGGTGAGGTGGAGTATAGATGCCTAGGGGTACATTGTGGTTTGTACCGAAAATGTAGAGTGTGAGATTTGAATCTCGCGTGAAGATGTGATTAATTGTCTAGAATCCTTTATCTGTGTAGAGACCTTAATTAGGTGGAGTGTGAGAGAGGCACTTCTATCGCTTCTGTTAGGTGTAGACCTATTATCCACGTAAGTTGGGAGAAATGATGTGATGATAGAGGATTATCCCGTGGACTTAGGATCTATTATGACCTACCAATTAGACATGAGTTAGGTGATCAGTCTAGTGAGCAGAGTGGACAATGAAAGGAGATATGTGTTCTCGAAGTGTGAGCAACACGAAATGGGATAGGATAAGTGTGGTTGGATCTTTTCGCAGGGTCATTTATGTAGTTGTTGCATATGTGTTTGACGTGTGTTTGATTAACTTGGTGTTAATCTGTGGTTCTGTGTGAACGAGCTAATGAAAAGATCTGTGTGTTATCCTATAGTATATCATCACCGCATGTTTATTTGCTCTCGATTGTTTACTGTGAATATTTGTTTCTACTTGGGTATTTATGACCTTACCCCTGTGAGTACATAAAGCAGGTATGACATGTGTTTAAGGTTGGAAATACGAGGTAAGGTCTGTGATCTAATTTTATTGACTACCTTGATTATGCAAGTGTTAACTGTGTGTTTTGATTACTTGCAGATTTATTGGTCATCAAGGTGGAGATTTGTTGAATTTTTTTATACCCAATAAATCTCGAGTTATGATGTTAATGTGAGATAATATATTTCATACGCTTAGGCTGATGAATAAAATAAGTCTGACAACCAAGTCCATGAACTCCACCCGATCCAATTGTATTTCCTCTTGGATGGTTTGAATCTTAACCCGTTTACCTTTCTTTTTTGTCCAATTAAAAGCCTAACCTTAGACTATTTATAAGATTACAACCCTAGCTATTTTCTAGTGTGATTAGTGTGTGAAAAAGTGGAGAACTTGGCTGCAAGAAGAGAGAAAAACGACTGGTCCTTTGTATGTCCAAAATCGGTGATTATTGTGTTTTG